TCACCTCTCTGTGAGGACCACATTGTTCTCTGTGATTATCCATCAGAACAAGTGGTTCTAATTAGTTTTCTTTTCAAGGTGCTTTTCTTTCATTTCCAGGCAGCCAGTCCCTCAGCCAAAGGGATTTCTGTGCCCAGCCGCTGCACTCAGGGACTGGGGTTCACGTGGGCCCTGGGAGGTGGCCGGTCAGGTTGGCTTTCTCAGGTTGGTAGCATCCCCAACCTCTCCATTCCCTTCCCTCCCACAATAAACCGTTCTTTCTGTCTCAAATACATTCTTTCATTTGTGTGTGTTTCCACTAATGGTGTTGTTTTGAAATATATATTTTAAAATTTGCAATGTTATAGGTCTCCTTTTTTTTTTTAAGTATTTTCTTTATTTATTTGAGAGAGACAGAGATAGTGAGAGAGAGCATGAGCGGGAAGAAGGGAGAGAAGCAGACTCCCCGCTGAGCAGGGAGCTCTATATGGGGCTCGATCCCAGGACCCTGGGATCATGACCTGAGCCGAAGGCAGACACTTAACCCACTGAGCCACCCAGGCGCCCCAGTCTCCTCCTTTTTCTTACATTTTTGCTTTATCCTAACTGTCCAGCGTTCCCTTTGTGGTCCCTCATGTTTGTCTCTTCCCCTAGTAATGAGCTCAGAGATTGCTTCCAGCAACTTTCTTCCCACAGCATTCAGAAATGACCCTTCATGAATCTGTATGAGAATTTTTCTGGGATCTCTAAACCCCAAAACAGGAACACTGGGTTATAAGGCATATGTATACTTCCTAGCACAAACAGTGCAACTTTGTATAAACAGCCTTCTACATGTCCCTTAATGGTTTCAGAGTTTTTCTCAGGTACATATACATAGGAACAAGATCATGTACCACATTCCAATTTACCCCCATGCGTACTTGCTTGTGGAATGGCTGCCCAGTCCTCATTTCCACCAGAGATGAATATGGTTCCAACATCTCCACATCTCTGCCAAAACTTGGTATTGTCTCGATTTCTAGGCACGTAAAGGAATTTATCATGATTATTTCCATTGTTATTTCTTAAATTTCTGGGTTTGAGCATCTCTTTTTTGTTTCCTCTAATTTGAGTCACCTTGTCATATCTTCATCCTTTTTTCTATGGAGGTGCTCATCTTTCGCCTCTTGGGTTTCAGGAGTACCTTGGACAGTCCCGATAGTCTGGCCTCCTGGGTTTTACACATTAACAAGTATCTTTGTCCCCTCTGCTCTGTCATCTTGGGTGGTGGTTTCCTTCAATGAGCAGAAATCTTTAATTTTGATGGAAAAAAATTCACCTTTTGGGAATTCTTTTAAAAAAAGACACTTCCCACTGCTGGTCATAAAGATAATCTCCATTATTTTTATTAACTTTGCAGCTTTACCTTCTATGTTTTACCTTTATCCACACAGATTTCATCACTGTTTGTGATGTGATATAAAAGTACAGTTTTATTTTTCTCTGTATAATTAGTTTTCCCCAGTTTGGAGAAAGCCTCTCCTTTCCCTATTGTAAAATTTTAATTGTTATTACAAGAATTGTCATGTTTATGTTATAATAATGTCATCCCACCCAGGGCACAAAGGACTCTCCATTTATTCAGATCTTGCTTTATGTCTTTTAATTAATGCTTAAAATTTCCCCATTGAGGTCTTATGTGATCTTTGCTAATTTAATTTCTAGATACTTTATAGTTTTTATGGTTTATTTTATTTTTTGTCATATTTTGTGTTTGATTGGTTTTTGTTTTGTTACCTGGCAATAACTCTTAATTGTTCTAGTGGACTATCGTCTTTTTTTTTTTTTTTTTTTAAGATTTATCGTTTATTTGAGAGAGAGAGTGAGTGGGAGGCAAGGGCAGAGGGAGAGCAAGAGAGAGTCTCAAGCAGACTCCGTGCTCACTGTGGAGTCCAAAGTGGGGCTCAGTCTCACGACGCTGAGATCATGACCCAAGCCAAAACCGAGTCAGATGCTTAATTGACTGTGCCACCTGGGCATCTCTCTAATGGATTATCTATTGATCCTGGCCTTTTCTTACATATTAGATCAAATGGTCTGAAAATAGTGATAGTTTTATCTCTTCCCTTCAAATGCTTATACCTAACTTCTTTTTTTTCTCTGTAGCTCTGGTTAGTACCTTCACTACTATATACAATAGTAATGGTGACATTGGGCATCCTTGTTTTGTTTCTGCCCTTAAAGGGAAAATGTTTAAAGGATATCTATTAAATTGGATGCTTATTGAAGGCTTTTATAATCTTCACCAAGTTAAATAGGTTCCCCATATTCCTAATTTTTAAAGAAATCTTTTTAAGAAATCATAAATATGTGTCAAATTTTATCAAATCCTTTTTTGTACCTATTAAGATAATAGTGACTTATCTCTTTGGACTACTGATATATTGAATTAATTGATCTTGTGATATTAAAATTACTGTAATCCTGGGATAAATTCTACTTGTTCACAATATATTATTTTAAATAGATCTTTTTTACTCAGTTAACATTTAGGATTTTTACATCCAAAATAATAATTGAAGAAAACCTGTAATTTTTCTTTTCTTGTATTCTCCTTATCCTGTTTGGAACAAAAAGTAAAGCAGCCTAATAAAATATGCTATAGAACTTTTGTTATTTTTCTATTTCCTAGAACAACTTATAGACGAGAGGAAATTAAATGTTTCATGAACATTTGATAGAGCTCACCGGTAAAACTTTCTGGGCCTAGAGCTCTTTAGCAGGGGAAGGCTTTGATTGCCATTTCAATGTATTTAATACTTAGGTCTATTCAAGTTTTCTATTTTTTCCTGCACCAATTTTGGCATTTTATATATATATCCCAGTATCAGTTCATCTAGATTTTAAAAATGTATTAGTATACTTGTGTTTATAGTTTATTGCTCAGCAAATTTTCACTCCTAATGCCCTGTGAGAACATTTAATACCCTGTCCTGTTGGTCTTGGGCTTGACCACATGGCTTGCTTTGGTCAATGGAACATCAGTGGACTCAGCCTGCAGAGGCCTTACATGACCTTGAGGCAGGAGTTAGCCTTTTGCTCCTAAAAGGTGGCTACACTAGAAAGGGGCAGTCTCTTAGCTCAACTTTTCCTCTGGTCCAGCAAACCTAAAGCATATGATACTCCCATCAGTGATAGTGGTTCACTGTAGCAATGAGTTGGGAAGGGCAATGTATTACCAAATTCTGCAAAGGAATGTATATAGTTTTTTTAAAAGTGCAACCCCATATCCAACCGAGTCACTGTTATAAGGAACTCATACGTACTTACACCTCCGGTTATGTCACAAAATAACTGAAGTTTAAAAAGGAATTCTATAGGGGGAGCCTTGGTGGCTCAGTAGGTTAAGTGATCTGCCTTCGGCTCAGGTCATGATCCCGGGGTCCTGGGATTGATCCTGGGGTCCTACAGTCGATCCCCAGGTCTGGCTCTCTGCTCAGTGGGGAGCTTTGTGCTCTCTTGCACTCTCTCTCTCTCACATAAATAAACAAAATATCTTTTTTTAAGTAATTTTATCGTTAAAATCCTTTCTGTTATTTTAGATTCCTGAGCATAGATTTATCTGAGTCTCCTAGCTGCTACTTATGGGTCTGCTATGCCTTTCCTTTACTCCATAATCTTCAGTCTTTGAACTGTGGTTTTGGATCCTGTATAGTTCCTCTTTTTTAGGTCTCCATTAAGGTGGCCACATATTGTAGAATATAGATCAAAAAGAGGAGGTTGACCAGACAGGAAGATGGGCTTGCAGACTTTCCTTCACTTGGAGATTGCACACTCAGCCAGGATAGACCAGAGGGTGCTGTCCATACAAAGATTTGTTGGAAGAAATGACTTCTTTTTCTGGTACAAACAAAAAAGTCAGAAGCACATAGCTAGTGGAGATGGTGAATTGGAAACTTGACTTGGAAGAACTTTTTTAACAATATGATGAGTTTTTTTTTTTCCCTTCCTTCCCCTGTGATCCTCTATTTTGTTTCTTAAATTCCACATTTGAGCGAAATCATATAATTGTCTTTCTCTTAACTATGGGAAACAAACTGAGGGTTGCTGGAGGGGAGGTAGATGGGGGGATGGGGTAACTGGGTTATGGGCATTAAGGAGGGCACGTGATGTGATGACCACTAGGTGTTATACGCAACTGATAAATTACTGAACTCTACCTCTGAAACTAATAATACACTATATGTTAATTAATAGAATTTAAATAAAATTAAATTTAAGGGGCGCCTGGGTGGCTCAGATGGTTAAGCGTCTGCCTTCGGCTCAGGTCATGATCCCGGGTCCTGGGATTGAGTCCCGCATTGGGCTCCCTGCTCCTTGGGAGCCTGCTTCTCCCTCTGCTTCTCTCTCTCTCTCTCTCTCCCTCTCTCTCCCTCTCTCATGAATAAATAAATAAAATCTTTAAAAAAATTAAATTAAATTAAATTAAAAAAAAGAATATGATAAGTTACCATACATCGAGTTCTATATTGTGCTCAGCAAGGGGCTAAAGGTCGGAGGAAGGCAAGAAATAGAAGACATGATCTCTGCCCATAAGGAGCTTGGGAGACAGAAGCATCCTATAAGAAACAAAAAAGTTAAGTGTGAATCTTTTAGACCTGACTCTAAATGCAATAGGAATTGGAAAGGAGATTTTTCTTGGTTAATTAGGTATGAAAGAGGGAGGAGGAGGTAGTTGGAGATGTAATGACCACAGAGATGGGAGGGTGGAAGGATGGAGGGCATGCAGGGAGATGGGAAGTGAGGTGTTTATCCCTTCAAATGGATGGCTTCATTGTGGTAGATGGGCTTGGTAGAGAATGTTGTTTTGTTTGAAACATGGGAGTTTTAACTTCACTGAGAATGGGATTAAAGAGTTGGATTCAAGATTTAGAATCTGTATAAGAGAGAACATTCTGTCAGTATAAGAGGAGCTAACTCCCTGCTTAAGATATTTAAAACTAGTTGAGGCTCTCTTCCAGGCTCAGTCCAGTGTCAGCATGGCCCGAGGAAATCAGCGAGAACTTGCCCGCCAGAAAAACATGAAGAAATCCCAGGAAATTAGCAAGGGAAAAAGAAAAGAGGATAGCTTGACCACCTCTCAGAGAAAGCAGAGGGACTCTGAGATAATGCAACAAAAGCAGAAGGTAGCTAATGAGAAGAAGTCTATGCAGACGAGAGAAAAATGATGACTGGAAAAACCTGGGTGTTATTGCCAACTAGGTGTATCATAAGCTCTAAGGTCAAAGTTTTGTGGAGGAAACAGTCATATGTTATATCCTTATAAAACTATTTTAAACTTTACCTTTCAGCCTGACTTAGTATAATGTTTCAGAACCATTCTTTAAAGAATAAAACACTAACCATTCATGTGAAAAAAAAAAAACTAGTTGATACTTACGTCACAGTATCTGGTGGTTCTTAACCAGGCACAGTACTGCCTCACCCCAGGGTATGTGGACTTGTGTGCTCAGACAGAGCTGCAGGCCACGGATGAGAAACGCCCTGCATAATGGATGGCCCTGCCTGAAATGCCCGTGATACACTTGGTGAGAAACACCAGACTTCCCACACTTCAGTCATTCGGGTTCTACTGGCACAATTTTTGCTATATCTTTTTACCACCTGTACTGCTAACTTACTGCTTTTATTTAAATTTACTTTTTATTTAAAAATTTACTTTTCTTTTTTTATTATTTTTGTGTCATTCTATATCTGCTTTTTAACTTTTATTTACTTATCTTAGTTCTTGCAGTCATGAGTCTGAAATGTTATTTATACTTTTCTAACTGTATTAAAATAGATACATGACTGTTCTAATACAGAATGTTCACCCGTGGACCACCTGATATCCTCTTGTACACTGCTTGTGGTATGCACATCAAGCTCTGAGAAACAGTGGCCAGATGGTCACAGTGGATTAATTCATAGCTTGACCTGATTTTATATAGTATTTCCTTGGATGTTGACACTAAAACCTTGGGACTCTCATTTTTTCAGGAAGTTCGCATTCAGCAGAATTCAGGCGTTGGAAGGGCCTCGTGAGGATACTTCTGCTCGAGGTCAGACAGTACAAACAGCTGTTATTGTCTCCTCATGTCTGGAAGGTCTCCTTGGAAGGGCTTGACGTGCTTTTGGCTAAGTAGTGCTTCTGTGCCAGTTATCTTTGCTCCAGTCTGCGTCCCCAGACTGCAAGCCATCTCCCAGTTATGGGGCAGTATTCCCAAGGGATATGTGACCCTAAAAGTGCGGGGGAATGCAAGCAAGTACTGCCCTCACTCCCAAATAATTGGCCCAAAGCCTATGTTGCATTAAGAGTTGGCCAGGAGTCAGAATGATGATGGAGTAGCAGAACCACAGAGGCTCCCTCCCCAGCACCCAATGAACTGAACCAAAAAGCAGTTAAGAACAGAAACATTTGCCAGCATCAACCAAACAAACAAAAAAACCCAACCAATCACAACTTTATGGCAAAGGAAGACAACACCCCACCCGACCCTTCAGAAGCAGTCCTGGGAAAAGAAGGGAAGGGTACAAAATCCTAAGGACCCCTACTAATTCAGATCGGTATGGAAGAAGCTGGTGGGGGAGGTGAGTAGACGGCCTTGGTAAATGTCAGGAGCCATCATCAGCAGAGGCAGGAGGGCAACCCAGGGCAGGCCATCTCTGCATTGAGCTACAGGAAAGAGACCGTAGGAGTGCGTGCGCCCTGGCTAGGCAGAGCAGGCTGTGGTATAAGACATTTCATTGGCTTCCAAAAGAGAGAACAGCACACTGGACCCCCAGCCAGGGCAGGCCTAGTCCTCCTACCTCTCCTCCATGGCGGAACACCACGTAGAAAGCATCAGCCAACCACAAATTGTAGCTCAGAGGGAGAGAGTGTCAAGGATACCTTGGCTTACTATAAAAGAGCTCTGGATAGAGTGTTCATGTTAAATGTGAGCAAGATGAAGATAAGTGTCATGACAACTACGTGAAAATGCTACAGCAGAATAAAGACAGGAACATGGATTGCAAAAAGTAAACATGCAGCCAGTTGGGCCTGAGTGGAAACCCAAAGCAAGAAAACTCAACCTCACAAGTATTTCGTGCTATCGGAGAGCTCAGGATCAGTTCAGTGGAAATAAAAACTCAATATCGTTATGATAAAACAAGAATGAGATTTTTTAAAAAATTTTTATTTTTAATTGTGATAAAATATCTATAACATGAAACTTGCTGTCTTTTCCATTTTTAGGTGTACAGTTCAGTAGTGTTAAGTGCATTCACATTGTGCAGCCAACCTCCAGAACTCTTTTCGTTTTGCAAAACTGACTACCCATTAAACAATTCCCCATTCCCCCCCACCCTCTCCCCTGGTAACCACCATTCTTTCCATCTTAATGAATTTGACTACTGCAGGTGCCTCATAGGAATGGGATCATAGAGGACTTGTCCTTTGGTCACTGGCTTATTTCACTTAGCATAATGTTCTCAAGTCTCACCCATGTTGTAGTTTGAGTCAGAATGTTTTCCCTTTTAAGACTGAATAATATTCTAATCTATAATATACCACATTTTGTTTCTCCTTCCATTCCTTGATAGACACTTGGGTCACTTCCACTTTTTGCTATTGGGAACAATGCTGCTATGAAGATGGGTGTATAAATATCCCTTTGAGTCACCTGCTTTCAGGCCTTTTGGGTATATTACCCAGAATTAGAACTGCTAGATTGTATGATAATTCCATGCTTCATTGGTTAAGGAGCCACCATACTCTTTTCCATAGCAGCTGTGCCATTTTACATCCTCACCAACACTTGTTATTTGGGGGTTTTTTTTGACAATAGCCATCCTAATGAATATGAAGTGGAATGGGATTTTTAAAAGACACACTGAAGAGGGGTACCTGGATGGTCCAGTTAGTTAAGTGTCTGACTCTTGGTTTTAGCTCAGGTCGAGATCTCAGGGTTATGAGATTGAGCCCTGTGTTGGGCTCTGCTCTCAGTGAGGAGTCTGCTTGGGATTCTCTCCCTCTCCCTCTGCCCCTCCTGCTGATGTTCTCTCTCTCTCTCTCTCTAAAAATAAATGAATAAATCTTTAAAAAAAAGATAGATTGAGGAGCCAAGAAAAGAAATTGAGGAAAAAACACAGTACAAGGTTTGAACCAGAAAAGAACAAAACAAAATAAAACAGCATAAACATCACCAAACATCAAATGAATGGCATAGGGGAAAAGCATGAGATGATCACAGGAAAGGAGTTAAAGTAATAAGACAGAAAATGACAGCTATGGTGGATGGGGAAAGCCATCTAGCATCTGGGGCAGAAAAAGAATGCAGAGATATGACACAGGAAAATTTTTCTGGAAGGGAGAAAGAGTTAAATCTTTGGTCAGAAGATCATGTGACATATCTTAAAAAGCAAATAGAGAATGACCAAGATATACCCTGATCTAAAGCTTCAGGACTGTAAGCCCCAGGCTGAAAAAGCAAGTTATACAAAATGGGGGATGGCGAAATTGGTGTTAGAATTCTCCGTACCAACATTCCCTTCCATAAAATAGGAGCATGATCTACAAACTTGTGAGAGGAATAGAATTACTTAAATAATGTAAAATTTTATTTATAATTTAAAGCATAATATTGAAATAATATGAAATTGTTTTCACAAATGTTATTATTCAACAATGAAAGCAGTAAGCAGACAGTCTTGATCTGAAGGAACTAGAGGAATGTAGTGACCATGAGCATTTCTTGATAAAAATTACCTTATGATGAAATTGACCCAAATGACTCAAATCAATGGGTGATGGGTATTAAGGAAGGCACTTGTTATGATGAGCACTGGGTGTTATATGTAAGTGATCAATCACTAAATTCTACTCTTGAAACTAATATTACACTGTATGTTAACTAACTAGAATTTATATAAGAACAAAAAAAATAACAGATTCAGGAGTTGAAAAGCCATGGTTAAAAAAAAAGTAACAACAAAAAGGAATTGATGAACATTCAAACCTATATTATAATGTAGTTTTAAGACTAAACAACTTAGGGGGAAGATTTTTGTCCCAGAACCATAAAAATATTATGCACCCAACACAACAAAAATGTTATAAGCAATGGGGCACCTGAGGGGGCTCAGTCAGTTAAGCAGCCAACTCTTGATTTCAGCTGAGGTCATGATCTCAGGGCTGTGAGATTGAGCCCCGTGTTGGGTTCTGCGCTAGGCATGGAGCCTGCTTAAGATTCTCTCTCTCTTTCTCTGTCCTTTGCCCCCCGCTTGTGCACATGCATTCTCTCTCTCTTTCTTTTTTTTTTTTAAAGATTTTATTTATTTATTTGAGAGAGAGAGAATGAGAGATAGAGAGCACAAGAGGGAAGAGGGTCAGAGAGAGAAGCAGACTCCCTGCTGAGCAGGGAGCCCGATGTGGGACTCGATCCTGGGACTCCAGGATCATGACCTGAGCCGAAGGCAGTCGCTTAACCAACTGAGCCACCCAGGTGCCCTCTCTCTCTCTTTCTAAAAAAAAAAAAAAAGAAAAATGATGAGGTATGGGGAAAGGAAGAACTATCAAGTGTTAATTATAGAGCATTAATGTGAAAATATATAGTTTACCTCTTAAATTTTCATATACTTTTTTCAAAAGCAGCATTAAATCTTTTGTGTGTGTATATGTGTTGCTGTTGTTTAAATATTTAACTGTAGGTCAAAAAGCCATTTAGTTTTCACTTCTGTTTCTTTTTTTTCTGTTACATTCAAGCAAAATTAAATAACCTTTCTGAGAAAAAAAGCTATTAATACAGGATATGTGCCTGAAAAGATGTCCAGAATGATGTTCAACAACTCTAAGTACAGTGGTGGGTTATTGGATGACTTGTTTTCTCCTTTATACTTTTTTATGTTGCTTGTATTTTTTTAATGAGCCCACATTTTTGTAAAAGTGCCTATAGTTTTATAAAAGCCATAAAATCATTACTGGTTTTTTTTTTTTAAAGATTTTATTTATTTATTTGAGAGAGAGAATGAGATAGGGAGAGAGAGCATGAGAGGGGGGAGGGTCTGAGGGAGAAGCAGACTCCCTGATGAGCAGGGAGCCCGATGTGGGACTCGATCCCGGGACTCCAGGATCATGACCTGAGCCGAAGGCAGTCGCTTAACCAACTGAGCCACCCAGGCGCCCCAAATCATTACTGTTAATATAAAATATTGGTCAGTAGTATTGTCATTATTCTAGTTGCGTCTTAATCATTTAAAAAAAATTAATAGTCTTGTCTTGACATACACCAGAAAGAGCCCTTGACAGTATTTTTGCAACTCGTGCCTAAGATATTGGCAACTGCCTTGGGGCAAAAGGCATGTGCAGAGGAAAACATTAGCTATTCTAACAGGATGTGTTTTGCCTTCTTATTGAATTCATAAATCTAAACAATGAGCTGGTGAGTGTGAAGTGGGATTGACTCGGATTCCCATGATGCTGGTGACAGAAGGTATAGTACAAGTGTAGTGTGGTTTGTTGTACACATGGCTGAATGAGGAATATGAAAACCTCACTTCTAGTTCGGGCCTAACCAATAAGCAGCACCAGAATTTGGGGTGTTTAGAGTGCTTCTCAGTCTCTGCACTTCCCTACGTTGAACTTCTTTCTTTTCTTGAATTTCCCATGGTCTCCTGCCTCCAGGCCTTTGCACAGGCAGTTCCCTCTGCCCAAGGCACATTTCCTTACCTTTCCCTTCATGGGGCTCTTTCTTGTGTTCAGGGCTTAGCTTTAGCCTCCTTCCTCTAGAAGGCCTTCTGCATTGTAACGGATGGTACTTCCGTTGGTAGTTCCAGTGGTAACACTCGGTGTCAGAGTTCCTGCAGCAGACCAGCCTCGGGAAGACTGGGATCTAGGAAGTGCAAGGTTAGGTTCTCTCATTGCCCTTCCACAACACATGCTTTTGACTTCCTCCTCTGGGCTCTGCCAGGGCGGTAACTCTCCTCCTGCTACCTCGTGGCCTCTGAGTTTTCTTTTTTTCTCAGCAGGCCTCTTCAGTTCTCCTTCTGTTAGAAACTGCAACTTTGCTTGGTAATGTTCAAAGTTTATCAGGAGAGAGTAGCTGTTCTATTTAGCCCATTTCTCTCCAGCACTAGCCATTCCTGCAGGAGAGAGTGTCACCCCTGCACCCACAGGCCCGTGCTGGGGGGAACTGGGGCCCAGGCTGGCATTCTTAATTCCCTCTGAACCCCCTGCGTGGCCTCTCTGGTATAAGAGATGGAAGGGGAGAAAGCATATTACAAAGCGGGAAGTGCCATGAAATCCTAAACATATGTTTTATATATAAAAGACCAAAAAGAAAGATCAAATCATTATCAGTGGGGTTTCTCTGATGGGATTTCTAGTTATTTTTATTTTCTTATTTTCACATTTTCTGTAATAAACAGTTTCACAGATGCTAAATGGCATTTTGTAAGCTCCTATATATGACTTTTTCCTGAGCAGCCCCCAAGAAGACTAGGGAGAGTTGGCTCTGCCAGATGAAGCATCATGCTGTTCTATTCACATATTTCATCTCTGCCCCCATCTAATGTGTTTGTTTGCTTTTTTCTCCCTCATGTCTTTCTTATCCCCAGATGACCAGATGACTGGTATCCCCCCGCACATCCTCAACAGCTCCCCATCCGACCAGCAGATCAACCAGCTGGCTCAGAGGCTGGGCCCTGAGTGGGAGCCTGTGGTGCTGTCTCTGGGCCTGTCCCAGACGGATATCTACCGCTGTAAGGCCAACCACCCCCACAACGTGCAGTCGCAGATGGTGGAGGCCTTCATCCGCTGGAGGCAGCGCTATGGGAAGCAGGCCACCTTCCGGAGCTTGCACAGAGGCCTCCAGGCCATGGAGGCGGACCCCTCGGTGCTCCAGCACATGTTGGAGTGATGGGGTCTCCCTCCATCAACCCATGGGGGAGTGTGTCCCCAAGTTGCGTGTGTGGAATCCTGACTTTCTCCCAGGGCAGGTAGTTTTGGGGGCTTTGGTGGGGTGGGGGAGGGTTCTTTTTAATGATCTGTAGATGAATGGAGAAAATGGGATTTCCAGTTGATGTTACCTTAAAGGCCAGATTACTCAGTAGCTCTACCACATTGACTTGGCAGTTCATTATTTTTAATTGCTTGAAGATTGAATTGTTTTAATTGTGCAGGTTTTAATTGTGTGAGTGCCCTTTAATAAACTGGTAAATCATAATGGCTCCAAGAAAATTACTGTGTTATCATATTACATGCAGGTGTCCTATATATATATATATATATATATATATAAATATATATAGCATCTACTTTGATATTGCCTGGGAACTGAACTGTGGACTTTGCTATTAATGATGATGATAATAAAAAGTGAATTACTATATATAATGTGGCCTTTCATGAGACAGTATTGTTTGTTTTTCCTCATTCCTGTAGTGCAGAGATTAAGGGTGTAAAAGTACAGTAGTCCTTTTTTTGAAACAGAATTACTAGTAATAACAAAATGGTTACTTTCTCCAGTCAGAATAAATCGCTCAGACAGGGTGTCTGAATTAAATTTAAGACACTGAACCTCCCTGCAAGACCAGTTCAGGTACCAGCATGCATCCCTGAGCCCTTCATCTTTAAGAGATTGCTTAAGAAAATCCTGTGTTTAAAGGACTTAGTTGGGGGACAAAAGAGGGTGTGGTCTTTCCCTTGACGTTGTAGTGATTGAAGTGTTATGCTCCTAGGAGTATGACTTAGTCTTCTGTCTTTCTATTAATGACACATGGTATTTGTCAAATGCTTTACTGTTTTCAAGGTTTTTCATATACGTGATCTCATTTGGGCCTCACAAAAATCCTATGAAGTAGTTGGGCAAGAGAGGTGAGTCTCCTGTAGTGAGATTAGGTGATTTGCTGGGGGCGAATGAGCTAGAATGTCTTTGGAGCCCTGCTTCTTTCCAGGTGCTCCCTGCTGCTTCTCCTCCCCTCTCCCGTGCTCCTCGAAGAAGCTTGAGTCCTGTTCTCCTGTTAACAGCATTGCCGTGGACAAGCTCCTCCTCTTCTCTAACGCTGCACAAAAGAGGAAATGATTGTCCCCTCCTCCAAGATTTTTGTGATAATTAAGGGAATAATGTCTGCCAAGGACTCATCTAGTGCCTGGCCCTTAGTCAGTTCTCAGAAGTGGTAACTGTTCATTTGCTGCTGTGGCTGCCCATGGATGAAGTTCACAGGCAGAGCTGGTTAGTGGCTAAAGCTGAGGACACTGCAGAAGGAAGTACTATGACCATGTTTCCTGCCAAGCTTTAACATGTGATGTTATTTACTAACTCTACCATGGGTCCAATCAAGAGAGGGACAGGATGGGGCGCCTGGGTGGCTCAGTCGTTAAGCGTCTGCCTTCGGCTCAGGTCATGATCCCAGGGTCCTGGGATCGAGCCCCACATCAGGCTCCCTGTTCGGCGGGAAGCCTGCTTCTCCCTCTCCCACTCCCCCTGCTTGTGTTCTCTCTCTCGCTGTGTCTCTCTCTGTCAAATAAATACATAAAATCTTAAAAAAAAAAAAAAAGAGGAACAGGTGAACATTCCCAATTCATGATCTGTTCTTCAGAATAATTGGGGGATCTATTTCCTAATCCTAACCTAACCCAGGATTTTTGGCAAAGGGAAAAAAGTGTACTTTTTACCTCTCTCTGTTCTGGGACAAGTGTATAGAAAGGTAGAGTTGAACGTGAAGTGACTGCTCCAAAAGGTGACAGTGGTGTGTCAATTGCATCCTCTCAGATGTCTGGCAGCCATAATTCCCTTGACTAAAAAAATCAGTTACCTAACAGTTCAACAGGATGGTCTGCTGGCCTCATCAGCTCTAATTTTCCATTTTGTAGCCCAGCCATTAATTCATTGTCTTATAAAATTCTCAGACTTTTGGCCCCATCACTGCCCTAGTGATAGACTGTACTATGGCATCTTCATCAAACTGCCTGCCATTCTGAACCTTGAACTTGTTACTTGCTGTTTGTCCCCCTGAGTTTGCTAATAGAGCATTGCTTTGGCTTTTGTTCTCACTGCATTTTTGGCCAAGGGAGTATGGCTGGGCTCTGCTGCATCTGACTAGATGGCATTTTAGAAGTGGCTCTGATGATTAGCTAGTTCATCTTCCCACCCTTTGGTTGGAATTGGAATCTCTCATGCCAAAGACACTTCAGTGCTCTGTGAGCAGTGAAGGACAATTTGTGATGAACTGGCCCATCATGGGCTGCCAGGGCCAGGAGAGAGCTCTGACTTGTTGCCCTTAATGAGGAGGGTGTCTCCACCATCAAATGGCAGCTGCACCTGCTGGGCCTGCTCATGTTCTTGCAGAAGATTTGCAGAGTGCAAGAAACAGAGCATCTAAACGCTACCTCATTTCTGCCTCTGGCTGTGGAAAGTGATGCTGAATTTTGTCTTCCTACCTCCCAGGAGAAATGGGTAGGTGACGTGCCTGCAAGGAGTCCATGTGTTTTTGCCTGGTAGAAGATTCTACAGTTCCAGAGGCTGCCTACCACCAACAGAATCCTGAATGAGTACAGGGCAGCGGCAGAGCATTTGCAAGCACTGTCCAAAAAAATATAAAGTCTTGCTCCACTTTGGTTTGAGATGCACGTGCATGTACATTCATGAGTATGCCCTCTTACTTTTTAAAAACTATAACTTTTATGAAATTTTTCTCTGTACAAAAATAGTGCATGCTCATTATAGCAGTTTAGAAAATACCAGTGAGCAAGAATAAAAAAATAAAAATTACCCCTACTCCATCTTCCAAAGATAACCACTATGACACCCCAGTTTTAGTCTCTACCCCCAGTTACTCTCCTATGGCTGTATATTCTTTTTCTAATGAAAATGACATTGTATCAAAGCAACTATAACTACAATAAGTAGTTAAAGGCTACGCAAAATTAAAAGAGGTAGGTATCCACAATCCCAGTTTTCAAAGTATACAAAGTATATACAAAGCTGTCATCATCAAGACAGTATGGTACTGGCACAAAAATAGATACCAGGCTCAATGGAACAGAATGGAGAGCCCAGAAACAAATCCATGCATATATGGTCAATTAATCTATAATGGAGGAGACATGGACGTATAATGGGGAAAAGACAGTCTCTTCAACAAAGGGTGCTGGGAAAACTGGGCAGTGACATACAGAAGAATGAAATTAGACCACTCTCTCACACCACTCACAAAAATAATCTCAAAATGGATTAAAGACCTAAATGTGAGACCTGAAACTATAAAACTCCTAAAAGAAAACATAGGCAGTAATCTCTTAGACATCAACCTTAGATGTCTTAACAACCTTAGCAATGTAGTTATGGATATGTTTCCTCAGGCAAGGGAAACAAAAGCAAAAATAAACTATTGAGACTATACCAAACTAAAAAGCTTCTGCACAGCAAAAGAAGCTATCAACAAGATGAAAAGGCAACCTACTGAATGGGAGAAAATATTTGCAAAAGATATATCTGATAAGGAGTTAATAGCCCAAATATATAAAGAACTCCTACAACTCAATACCAGAAAAACAAATAATCCAATTAAAAAATGGGCAGACCTTAATAGACATTTTCCTGAAGAAGACAGATGGCCAACAGACACATGAAAAGATGCTCAACATCTTTTCATCATCAAGGAAATGCAAATCAAAACCACAATGAGATACCACCTCACACTGTCAGAACGGCTAAAATAAAAAAGACAAGAAATAACAAGTATTGGTGAGGAAGTGGAGAAAAGGGAACCCTTGTGCACTGTTGGAATGAAAATTGGTGCAGCCACTGTGGAAAACAGTATGGAGATTCCTCAAAAAAACAAAAATAGAAGTACCATACAATCCAGTAATTCCACTTCTGGAAATTTACCCAGAGAAAATGAAAACACTAGTTTGAAAAGCTATCTGCACCCCTATGTTTATTGCGGCATTATTAACAGTAGCCAAGAGATGGAAGCAACCTAAGTGTCCATCGATAGATGAATGGATAAAGAAGAGGTGGCATACATATACAATGGAATATTCCTCAGCCATAAAAAAAGAATGAAATCTTGCCATTTGTGACAACATAGATGCAATTTTAGGGTATTATGCTAAGTGAAATAAATCAGAAAAAGACAAATACCATATGATTTCACTTATATGTGGAATCTAAAAAACAAAACAAATGAGCAAACAAAAACAAAACAGAAACAGGCTAATAGGTGCAGAAAAGAAAATGTTGGTTATGGGGTGTGGGGAGGGGACGGGTTGGGAGGGCAGGTGAAATAGATTAAGGGGATTACAAGGTATAAACTTCTAGTTATAAAATAACAGCATAGGGAACATAGTCAATAATATTGTAATAACTTGGTATAATGACATATGTTAACTAGATTTATTATAGGGATCATTTCATAATGTGTAAAAACATCAAACCACTAAGATGTGCACCTGAAATGAATAGGATATTGTATGTCAATTATACTTCAGTAAAAAAATGGGATTGTATTGCACATGCTGTTTTACAATTGGCTTCTTTTATTTAACATAGAGCTGTCTTTCCATGTCATTAAAGATTTTTCTATACCAGTGATTTTCATTGTCCTTTGTGTTTGGAGCACACTTTCAAGTCCTATAATTTTCGGCAGCATGTTTGAAGAAATTAAAAAGACTCTAACTACTGAATGTAAAAATGTCTTTCGCTGTCAAAACCTCCACCATTTTCCCACTGTTCGCCTTACCCCCCCCTTTAGAACCATGTCCTTGCTTGAGTAGAGCTTTTTGCTGCTCCTACTACCGTACACTCATATCTTGAAAAAGCAAAGTTGAGCACTTTCCCATAAACATTCTGGGCTTAATCTGAGCTTTTTATTTATTCCTTACAGCAGGAAGCCCTCTCCACTGCTCTGTGCAACCCACTCAGCTCCGTGTGCCATTTCTACCAGCATTCCTTCCGATGGCCGATGGGAATTGGGGTGTGTGGCTGCCCTTCTCCACTGTCATGTT